GTCAAAAGTCAAGCAAAAATTGGACTGATATTGGGCACTATTTCAAGCACAATTTTTTGAGACGTAAATTGTACCTATAGCTCGTTCGATATTCGCGCACTGAGGTGAGTATGCTGGGCGTAGAACCTACGCCCAGCATACTCACTGAACGAAGCCTATAACTCCGAAGTTATTCGAGCACTGTTTTTTCTTTTTGGGCACCGTTTGGCACTATTTGGGAACTATTTTTTGAAGTATGAATTATGTTTGAAGCGTATACAGATTCTCCGGACGGAGGTGAGTATGCTGGGCGAAACCTTCGTCCAGCATACTCATCGAACTATGGCTATAACTTCGCAAGTACAAGAGCACTATTTTTTTCCTTTGGGCACTATTTAGCACTATTTCAGAACAGTTTTTTGACATTCATGAAATATCAGGATTCCATGGTGAGTATGCTGGACGAAGGGACACAACGGAGCGACCCAGCCCACAGCGCCACCGACTGTAGAACATTTAAGAATGCATGACGTCTGCTCACGCAGCAGTAAGCCGATTCCAGTAGTGCCAATGGATTTTGTCAGTCTTATTAAAAAAAAATATCAATAAGAATAATTTTATATTTGAAACAATAGTTCTGGATTATCGCGTTCAAACAAACGCTTTAGTTTTATAATATCAGTATAGATATCCTCTCTAGTCATAAGATAGTAGATAGTATCTCTTTTTTATTTAGGGAACCAAACGTCCTAGCTTATATAAATTAACCTCCTACTAAAGTAGTGGAGTCCCTGTCAAATAATTACATGAGTAAGCTATAATTGAACACATAATAATTAACCTACTGTTTTAATTACTCTCTAAGTACAGACAAAACCGAACAGATCGTTTTATTAGTTCAGTTTGCTTCTATGACTGCCTCGTTGGCGAGTGTTCGCAAGTGCGACTGCCGGGCAAGGGGTCTCGGGTTCGATTCCCGGGTCGAGCAAAGTACTACTGGGTTTTAACTCGTCGAGTACCGTCATTATAGACACAATTATAGAACAATAGGTTGCGGTCACCGGTGACCGCTTGGTGTTTGACAGTTTAATAAAATTCTTAGTGGTAGCACGGAGTCTGGAATTGTGCCCGGTATATGGCAATAGGCTCACCCTTACATGGGAATCATAACATAAATAGTGAAAAGTGGGTGTTACATTGTACAGTGGCATTAAACTGTCAAACACAACCTATTGTTCTATAATTGTGTCTATAATGACGGTACTCGACGAGTTAAGTGCCGAAATGTGCACCTCTGCCTACCCCTTCGGGGATAAAAGGCTTGATGTGGGGTGTTATGTTATGCGGATAGACTCCGTAAATAGAATGTTGCAATGCATTTCGTGCAACTATGAGATCACAGATATTCGTTTAGAATACATAGAGCGTTTCCTGTTTATGTATTGTATTGTAGTTGACGCGTGTAAACGCTAGTTACCTAGACCTAACACACGTCTTAGGGCTAGATTCTCTTTTATAAGTTTCTGACCAATTAAAAAAGTACTTGTTTTATCTTCAACTACCTGGCAATATATGGTGGTAATTATCCAGACAACATAGGATGGCAATTAAACTGTCAAACACCAAGCGGTCACCGGTGACCGCAACCTATTGTTCTATAATTGTGTCTACAAAACCGGTACTAGACGAGTTAACCCTTCAGGAATCAGTATCAGTACGTAGGTAATCTTTAAAAACTCACCTACAAGATACCGTATGCTGTAGTTGAAGTTCAAAAACTATAATGGTTGAAACATACATTTACATACCTAAACGAAAGCTCAAAATAGTTCAGCTTTATTTTAAGAAAACATACAGCTTAACAGTGAACACTAATGAAATATTCATCTCTGTAAATAGACTATAGATTACCATGATTAGGTACACGTAAATATTTTAACACTTTAAACGTTAACTAAAAATCGCGAGTTACTCACGTGAATATACTGAGAAAAGCTCTACTAGTTTCGAACCACAGAGGGGTTCTTCCTCATGAGCAGAGTGCGCGGTCGCGGCAATGTCGCTAAAGTGTACTTTAGACGTTAATTAATAACTTTTTGAACAATTGTCCGATAGTCTCGCAATCTAGTATCCGAAAGCGGAAAGATTGTATGCTATAAGTGCGGTAGGGACCGATGTATCTTACCACCAGGTTCATCGGGCGGCATAAAATGTTCACCAGGTTTCGCTAAAAGGTTAAATTAGGCGAATGAGGCCGGTATTATTCATCTCTGAGAAAAACCGAAACAGAGGTCACAAAGGTAAGGAAAAATAGGCAATTGTTTGAAAAAAGAAGCGATAGACACAATTTTAATACTAGAGGCAAAAATAAGTTAGCTATACCGCAATTCAGACTGTCCAAAGTACAGAAATCCTTTATGGGGTTAGGTATTAAATGCTATAATAAAATACCAAATAGCATACTAGATCTCAATGAAAGTAAATTTAAAACATATATTAAGCGCGAATTATGTAATCAAGCTTACTACACACTGACAGATTATCTTGAAGATAAGAATGCTTGGCAGCATGTTGGTTCGGCTCCACTGGACAATACTCAAATGTAGTCAGTAGTTAAATTCCAATAGTAGGTAATATAATACATAATTTAATACTTTAATTCTAATGTAGACAATCTAGTTTCCTTATGGCATCGAGCATTTCTTTCTTTATTGAAACAAAGAGTTTCCTTTTTCTTGTATAGAAGCACTATTTCTATGGATTGTCAGTATGCATATGTGAGCACCATGTTGGACTTAAGATCTTTATTATTTTTATTTTTATTTTAGTAAGTTAGTAGTATAATGCGTCAAGCGTGTCTTTGCATTGTTCTTACATATGCGTACAGTATTGAAATATGTATCAGAGACATTGTAGAACATACTTTTTTAAAAGAGTAACGAATGGAGTTTCTTGCTCGTTCTTCTCCATTCGAATCTACGTTTTGGAATGAGCACCTAGCTTCACCTAGCTTCACTGACGGACTGACTGACAGACTATTATTTATTTTGTATTTGTTGACGTTTCAAAAGTACCAAACTATGGTTTAATTGAAATAAATGCTTTGACTTTGACTTTGACTTTGACAATCTCATTGAAAGTCCAACTTTGTTATACAAAAGTGTTGAAGTACCTAATCACATGTGCTATAGTGGGTACTGTCTACGTCATACTGCGATAATGAATTCATTGTGCATAATAATATAGGTAGAGCTGTGTAGGTATGATACGATTAATTGCATCAATGTTGAATTACCTACATTGTACATATTATGTATAAAAAGTTGGTCTCTTCTGTACAGTTGCTTTTTATTTATACTTAGGTACTTAACAAAGCCGAAGTTTGTCTGTTTGTTTGAACGCGCTAAGCTCTTGAACTAGTGGTTCGAATTGATGAATTATTTTTGTGTTGAATAGTCTATTTACCGAGGACGGCTATAAGCTATACAATATCACGCTCTGATCATAGCAGAGCGAGTGAAACCGAGCGAAAGTAAGTTGCTAGTATTTAAGTTTGGTTACCTATCTTATGGCGAAGGGCAGGACATGTAGCTAGACTCAGTGACAACCGCTGGACAAGAAAAACAACATCATGGTTAGGACCTTCAGGTCAAAGAAGAAAGGGTAAACCAAATGCACGTTGGACAGACGACATCTTAAAAATAGCAGGAAAAAACTGGATGCGAATAGCAGAAGATAGAAATCACTGGCTATCTCTGGAGGAGGCCTTTACCTTCCAAGAGAGGGGTTCTTGAAAAAAAAGGAGGAAATAAGAAAGACTTTTTGTAACTAACGGATACTTAGTTTTTTAGTTTTAAATGTATTTTTTTGTTTTTATTTTTTTAGCAAGAAATAAAAGGCTTTTTTATTTTATTTATTTATTTATAGGCATATCTTATGTAGGCATTCTGGTGATGGTGGCTGGCTCAGGAGAAGAAAGGAAACCACAGACGTTACTAGGAATAAAAACCATTTAATGTAATAATAAAACAGACAATAATTTTATAGGAATTCATGATTATGTATACAATAGGTAGGTATTTAGTCAATACGTACATATGCACTATAAAAATAATATTCATAAAATACATACCAACATTAGATTATCATAATTACCGGATAATAATAATAATAAAACAATAAGGAAACAGCGAGATGTTTTGCCTTACAAACGACAGTAATGAGGACGTTTGATGCAGCAACATGTCTCGTGACATGTAAGTGCGATGCCCCATTAAAGCCATACCCTTTTGTCCATTGCGCTGCATTGCGTCGCATCGTCGCAACGGTACAATGCATTGCACACCCCACCAGGGTTGTAAGGATGACGACGTCGCAGATATAAAAGAGATGACGGTCCGTCAACGCAGCGCATCAGCCTACCTCCCGCTTTGTTGCTTGTCCATTGATCCGTTGAAACGTCGCGAGGGACGACGCAACGGTGTAATAGGGCATGTCACAAAAACTATATAAACGCCGTGACGACGTAACGCACCAATGGGGCGTCGCTCTAACATGAAGCGCGCGTGGAACATTGCAACACTGGTAACGTATTACCTATGAAGACATAACCTTATTGTCTTGGGTTACGTTTTAATTTTGTCTATAAAGAAATCATACAGTTATATTATTATAGTTATATCTTTCGACTGCATGATTGGCAATTCGCCTGTGTAGTACATCTGTAGCTGCATATATGGCGCATGCTCCTGTACGGAACAAATATTTGCTTGAATCTATTTCTAGGTTTCATTATGTGAATAAACTGTATTTATAGACAGTATTCATATTTGCAAATTCGGTGGAAATTCCCTTATGAATCAAAGCAACGCTTTACGGTCATAATATAAGAGTTACGTCACTGGTGGAATGGTAGCATTCCAATTAAAATTTATCATAGATCTAAATAATTTGCATGTATTTCCTCAAAAATCACAAGATCAAGCGAAAAATTCCGTTGTAAAATGCCAATAAATTACTCATGCGATTTAATTGATCTGGATCAGATCATCTAACTGGATAACTGGACTAGATGTATTTTGTGACTGACTGAAAGCCATTTCAATTTTCTTCATTCTACATTCCAACAGACTAACTTTGTCTGCTAGCTTGTTCATTTTACCTTCCAGTTCTTCAAACTTCTGGTCTCTTTCGTTATTGATACGCAACGAGTCGAGTTCGTCCGTCAACGTTCTTAATTGGCTGGACAAGGCGCTGTCCGGCGGAGACGACTCAAAAGAAGACACAGAAGAACTCGTCATCAGCAAAGGTTCCAGCTCCCCGTGTTTCAAATAAAACTCAGACTTTTTAAACTCTTTCATTTCCTCTGCAGTCAACAATGCCCCGACCACCTTTTCAATATCATTCGCGTCGATAGCTGCAATCACATTCTTTAACTTATCGCAATAAATCTTCTGTAAACTCTCCCTTAGCCCGCCAATCAAGTTGTGGTCGCAGTTCCAAAAGAAGGGAATTTCTTTCTTTTGGATGGCGAGATAGAACTCCTCGACCATCGTACGGAATAGCACACTGACTTTGTTCTGCCAATAAGCTTTGTCTTGTGTTTCGTACACTTTCTTTAAGAAGAGTGATTTGATGTAATAGCTAGCAATAGCTCTCATCTCCAGAGCATCTCGTAACTTTTTCACCTGAAATTATTTGAAAATATTTATTTGGAAAAATACTTGGTTATCTACATAATAAGTTTTTGCAAGTAGTGTTTTTAAGTAGTATCTTACCAGTCGGATAGTTGTCTTCAACGCTTTGCAGTCTTTGATAATTTCTCTCTCCTGTTCTTGGAAGGACAGGCGCCAGCAACGGTTCTTTAGGGTATTGTCACTTAGAGCCTTGTTAGGCTTGGGAACAACCAGCCAGTCCTTCGCTTGAAGTCCGTCGATTACTCTAAAATAACAATGTTATACTTAGTTAAGGCAATCCGAATCTAGATACCTAACTATTATGATTCATAATACCTAGGTTTTCATTCACTGAAAAAATCTTGGAGGTGCTAATTTGGTTTTATATTATTTTCTATTGATCCATATAAGTAGATAGTTACCTAGATAAATAAGTAGATACTTGTAGGTACATCAGCAACAAGTTTTTGTAAAACTAGCAAGTATTATTTAAATGCTAAACTAACCTGTAACCTTCCGGTGCGCGAGGATACATGAACTTAATGACCGGTACCAAGTCCACATCCAGGGCGTACTTCTCAGTTCCCTCGTCGTTTCTAATGTTAAGCGTGTAGGCCGGTCCTGACTCCTTGTACGTCAGCAAGTAGACGTCCCCGTTCACCGTAACCTTTCCCTCCATAGCGTTCAGCGCTTTTTGGACATTCTTGTGCATCCACTGCCGGAACTTATTCTGCAGTAAGTACTTCTCAGAGTCCCGCCACTCCCGCGTCACCTTGTGCGTCTTCTCCCAGTCAGGCTGCTTGTCTAAATTATCAAAAGCACTCGTGATCTTCAGCTTAACGAAACCCGGCTCTTCATTCTCAATGATGATGTCTGCGTAACTGATTGGTAGGCGAATTACGATGTCCATGTCGAATTCATCCATCTTGCCCACTTTGATGTTGTCGGAGACGCTTCCACCGTACATGATCTGGTAGATGGTCACACGTTGTAGATGTAGCCACGATAAGTGGCTACACCCACAATGCATGGCGTCCCGTCGCAGCTCTATAAAAATACTATTGATCGAATTTCAATACATACATACTGTTTAAGACTAAAAGCTATTTAGTTCACATTTTACTAACAAATCGTTGCTGTAATTTGTAGCTACTCTACTTAGGTAAAGTTAGGTGCTTCTAAATGAGTTCCATTTTTATGTACTATACTGCATTATTAAATTTTTACTAACATGGCTACAGCAAACGTTTAAATGAAATGCAGTTTAGAAGCACCGTTATGAAAGTACAGGAATTAAATTGTGGAGCAACAATCGATTTTGTGTAAAATGTGAATTAAATTGTTTTCAGCCCTACAATTATGGATGTATGTACATGATATTTGACAAATAATGATTTTTATAAATAGGTAAACGAGACATAAGTTACAAAAATAAAAACATTAAGTCACTTCAGTATTTACCTGACTGCCGTATTTCTTGAAATAATTACATTGTTCGCCCATCTTCTGCTTGACTTGATCGAAGACGCTCTTGAATACATTCTGTGACTTCTTAAAGTCATCATCTTTAATCGAGATGAACTGCTTGAACACTTCTCCGAGGTACAAGTCCAAACTTCTCTTTTTCGAAGCCATGATTCACTGAAATAAAAATAAAATCTATTTACAAAACAATACTTACGATAAATAATTCTTCATATTAAATTGTACGTTTGCTAACACACCCACGACACAGAAGAAAATCTAACACCAAAATCCAACAATAAGTAAAAATATAAGTTGGGTTAGCTCAACCGATTTTCACAATTTAAATAAATTAACTGTCTACAAAAATATTAGAGAGACGTTCCCCCTTAACGTCTGCTAACAGAATGTCGGTCGGTAAGTAACGGGGTCCTATTTCTTGATCATCTGAAGTAAATATTATTGTTTTCCGTTTGGCAAAAAACAATAACAATAATAGAAATGGCTAAAACCGCAGTGTCGTTGGTTCTAAACGTAAAATACGTAGCTATGTAGATATATATATGACGTATTGCAACAACAATCGTCATTGTTGTGTCGTTACATTAAGTAATTGTTGCATTTATTTACTAAACTTCAATATCTACTGTACCTACTTCAAATAAAGTGTAAGACGAACTTAATTTCTTAGGCATTGTATTTATTACGCAACACAATGTCACGTTTTTTATTACCTACACAAAGGGATTTTACAAGACGGACTTTAAAAAACATAACAACGTCATTGCTTTTATCCACGAAGAGAAAATAACATATTATTATGTACTATTTATTGTAATATATAAACAGTATGTACATTTTTTAGCTAGTTACGTAATGAGTTCCATGTAAAAAGGGAGTGTCTATTGTCATACAATTATTGGACACTATTAACTACTGAGAAAGTACTACGTTATTAATATTACTTGGTCTTTAAAACATATCTCAGTAGTTGCACGGAGTCTGGAAATGTGCATGGTATATGGCAATATCCTCACCCCCTATTACAAGGGACTCATAACATAAATAGTAAAAAGTAGGTGTTACATTTTCCAGTGGCAATAAGTGCCGTAATGTAAACCTCTGCCTACCCCTTCGAAGATAAAAGGCGTGATGTTATGTAAAGCAATAAGTATGTATTTTTTTAAGGGGGGAAAATCATCGAATGGCTGCTCCCGCCTGGGGAGGCGGGAGGGAGTCAGACTCTTACTAACTAAAAACCACCCCGTTCCTTCTCCTGCACATCGAGCCGGTGCCTCGGTAACCCGTTAGGTTCTCCGCGACAATAAGTATGTATACATAATTATTATTCGATGGGTTCAATAATTTTAAATATGGCTACAGAAATTTGTTACCTAGTCCCACTGATATTATGAATATCATTTCATAAATCGAGATATCTAGGTAATTACATTTTTCCAGATCGGTGCTAGAATCGAAACCGAGTCCCATTTGTTGGCTGTCTCTCTAAAACTTATTTCATCACCCGCCTCTAAGTCTAAACCATGTCGCAGAGAACCTAACGGGTAACCGGGGCTCCGGCTCGACGTGCAAGAGAAGACGAGGTGGTTTTTAGTCAGTAAGAGTCTGAGACTCCCTCCCGCCTCACCCAGGCGGGAGCAGTCATACGATGATTTTCCCCCCTTAAAAAAAAGTCTAAACCATCTTTTAACTGAAAGTTACTTAGCGTAACATAGCACCTAAACTGATCCCTTACTTGTAGTGTTAGGTAACACTTATAGATTTGTGAAAAAAAAATTGAATTATCTTAGCTTATCCGGTTCCCAGTCTTGTCTTAGTATTATAGACCTTATTTCCGATGTTTAGAGACTGCTTTTGTATGAACAAATGTTGTGGATTTTTAATAAATTGTTGGGGGTTACAGTAGTAATCTTGGAGTTTGTGAAAACGGGCAATCGGGCATTAAACAAAGAAGCAAGGCACGTCCAATATAATAGATGCTTAAGTGCTTAAAGTACCACTTAGTGATACCAAGTACCAACAAGCCAACAACACTCAAAGGACATGGCAGTATTAACTTAATGGAACAAGATAATGTTTAAAACCTCAACCTTAATACAATGTAATAAAGTCTATAATTTATTGATTTTAACATTGTTTAATTCTACCGCACACTGCCATTGAAAAATCTACTTTATGACACACATATAAAGTTGACTTTTCTGTCATCACGGTGTTTGCTAACTGGAATTAACAGTAGTGGTTTTATTTTCCTTATCTAAAATCTACGTGGTAGTTATGACCTCTGTAGATTTATTTTATGTATCTAACGAGGCGTATCATTTACTGTTAATGCTATAAAACTGAAAACTAATACAATAATAATGTTAAATAACATAATCTAAAGTGCCTCGGTATTAAGATGTTATTATTACTGAACTTGGATCTGGTTGGAGGATCGTTGGAACTGAATTTGTTCAACAACTGCTACTAGCCACCGAGATATGGACTGCATTTAAAATAGTTTAAAATAATTAGGAGAATGGCTCATTGCACTCTTATATTCACAATAGCTACATCTGCCCTGTTTCATCCGCTCTACTCGGTTACTCCTGATCGTAGCGTGATGTTATATAGCTTGTCTGGATGGCCTAATGGACTATCCAACACAAAAAGATTTTTTCAAATCTGACCAGTGCTTTAGATTTAAATTGCGTCTAAAAAAAACTCTTCAGCTAAAGCTGCTTACTATATACAAATATGATTAATATACCATATCATCATCATCAACAGCCTATAAATGCCCACTGCTGAGCAAAGCCTCTTCTCACACGGAGAAGGTTTGAGCATTAATCGCCACGCTTGCTCAATGCGGGTTGGCAATTACAAACTTATATTTAGAATTTCCTCACGATGTTTTTCTTCACTTTTTGTCAGTGGTGTCTAGTAATAATCTTAGGAAGCACTTATACTCGAAAAAAGTCACATTGGTACTTGCCGTTTGTAGGTTTCGAACCCGCATCCTCATACATGAGAAGAGGGCGTCTTAAACCTCCAGGCCACCACGACAATATACCATATATATATATATATATACATATAAATATGTTCCACATTACAACCTCGTTAGTCTAGTGGCCGCAAGTGCGACTGCCGGGCAAGGGGTGTCGGTTTCGATTCCCGTGTCGATCAAAGTATTACTGGGGTTTTCCAAAAAAATCTCAGTAGTAGGAGGGAGTCTGAAATTGTGCCTGTTATGTGGCAATAGGCTTACCCCCTATTACATGGGATTCATAACATAAATAGTGAAAAGTGGGTGTTACATTGTACAGTGGCATTAAGTGCTGTAATGTGCACCTCTGCCTACCTCTTCGGGGATAAAAGGCATGATGTTATGTTATGTTATTTTCACAAAATACATTTAAATAATATAAAAGAAAAGAAAATAAATAAGTATGTACAACTGAAAATAATCTACTCATATTTAGATGTTATTAAGTAAGTAAGATTAACTTTATGAAATAAATAGTACATATTTGATTTGTATATTGATTACATTTTAAACTTTGCTTGTTACATTAGTAGTTTGCCAAACATAACTGACAAAAAGATGTTCTATTTTTAAACATGTCTGTCTTAAAAAAATACAATTACTTAGTAATAACATTGCATTTTATGTGTATATGTAAACATAGACAAGACATAGTGAAATATATTTAAATAATTATTTATTATTGAAGTAGGCTATCGGTTTTATCTAATATTATTATTAATCTATGTTTGTTTATCAAAGTATCGGTAGATTAATAATTTCATTGTGTTGGTGCAGACCTTTATTGGAATTTCATCATGTTGTATTACATATTGGACAAATTCTGTTGCAATTTGTGCATTTCGTTACAGTCATCATTGAATTTAACTGTACATGAAATAGTTATATCATAATTAAAGGCAATACATAAGTTTTTTAATACAAATATGACTTTGACTGCCAACAGAAAACAGCATGGTGCTTATCAAGTTAAAGAGGGTAATATAATTAACTCGTTGAGTACCATCATTATAGACACAATTATAGAACAATAGGTTGCGGTCACCGGTGACCGCTTGGTGGTTGACAGTTTAACCCATAAATCCCCAAGCGGTCACCGGTGACCGCTTTCCACTAATATTACATTACATTATAGACCTTATTTCTAATGTTTAGAGAATACTTTTGTATGACGAAATTTAGGGGATGGATATCAACGGGTTAAATAAGGGTAGTTATAATTAACCTTTCAACCGTCACATCAAAGAATCAAAGAAGTGCCCTCAGCACCAGCTAAGAATTCATTTGTAACCGCTTGAATTCACCGATATGAGACAGAATGGAAACTACATTGTCTCACGTGGATCCATGTTTACACACACGAAAGGTTAAATAATATTTTAGAATTTGTATAATGTTCAAATCAGTCATGCCTGTAGTTGGCTGTGGTGTGCTGCACCCTTTTTTGTTTGTCCTATGAGTCTGGCAGTCAAAAAGGTTAAACATATTAATAGCATGATACTTATGCATAACACTAAACATTAACTCGTTGAGTACCGTCATTATAGACACAATTATAGAACAATAGGTTGCGGTTACCGGTGACCGCTTGGTGTTTGACAGTTTAAATGGTGATAATAGTGCTTTGGGGACTCGTACTAATAATGCTTTACAGGTAATCAATGGATGGAAAACAAGTGTCATATTCCAGTTATCCAATTAATATTATTATCTAAGTACAATCCTATTTAATCTTCATTTTAATTTAAAGTTGTATAAATCAGAAGATTACCGTGTTACTTAGTACATTCTACCGTACAGGCAAACTGTTCCAATAATAAATTCTACTTCTATTGCAAAAGATATCCATTGGCGGTTGTTCTTGTACATAGGTAATACATAATATATGTATCAACGATCTCGGAAAATGACGTTTACTAAAAAAATAAGGGGGAAAGCTCGGTCATCCAGATATAATAATAATAATAATAAATAATCTTTATTGTACACCAATTTGAGACAGTACATCAAGGAACAAATAAAGAAAATAGGGTACAAAGGCGGCCTTATCGCTAAAAGCGATATCTACCAGGCAACCTTTGGGTGGATAGAATAATAAAGTAGGATATTAAATGAGGTAGTTATAGATATAATATGTGAATGCAATTACATAGTTGAAAATGTCATAAAACATCCCGACGGAAATCTACATGTTGCGTTGAATTGAAATCGTGTGATAATAAATACATAGTTAACTACTATTAGGGCCCTTACTTTATCCAAAATACTTGGAAAGACATCAATCATTACAATACATTCTTCTAAGATTTAGTTGCTAATTGCTACTGTTTAGTAAGCTTGATTATAAATATTGTAAACAAACTCACCACTTTAAAGTATTTAATCCAACTTTTGAGTGCTATTGTGCATTAAGTAATGTTATATTTTATCAATTTCTCCGCAGTCAACCGCAATCTGTCGACGTTGAAACTAAATTGTTTCATGTTTCCACTTAAAGTCAATGCAACTTTTATTTTTACACTCGTAAAATTGGGATTTCCTAGAGAATCACTTTACAGTGTTGACGTTTCTAAAGTAAATGTTACCCACAGCGCTCCCCCATAAATTACTAACAGTAACAGCAAATAACTAACAAAATCAATCTTATTATTAAAACTAGTTTTTCAATTAAGTACATAATAGTTTTACAAACTTTGTAAAGGTTATGATTATGTTACATAGTTTCAATCTGAATTCTGACCATTATCGACTTTGTGTGCCTTCAATATTACTTCCAAGGAGAAAGGTTATCAAAAAAGATAAAATATAATTTTAAGGTTTTCCCCACGATCTAAATGTTTTTTTGCTTAGCCAACACCATATCAAATGTCAAAACTCAAACTTAGATCATTGTCTTTTTATACAGCAAAAAATGTTTTTGAATATAAATAAATAGGTATTAATTTTAACAAGCATATTGATGAAATAATATTTAAATTCAAGTAAATGAAAAGTATTAATTATATCATGTTTATAATTAAGTTTTGTGGTATATTGGTCATATTACTCTCTCATAATCACGTAAAAATGAAAAACCTGTAAATCAAAATATTCAAATCACTCAATGTGCAAAGAAATGTAATATTCTCATAATTTTCTCTGATGATAACAAAATATTTCTAGACTGTTCTCGAATCTTGATCAAGTTCATTTATCAAATTTTTGGGAATCCCCGATAACAGAATAGTGTTGCCGACACTATCGTTTAATTTTTATTACCAATTTGTCAATTTTATGAGAAAGTAAGTCTCATTGTATAAAAGTAAATATATTATGAAATAAAATTGAAAATTTTAATGATTATATTTGTTGATTTTTTTATTAAATCCTTCCTAAATAGGGAATTATTACGAGCATTATTTTCAAAGAAAATGCTTGCTACTTTAACATACTATCAGTAGAAATTACAATTTGTATGTGTGATCACCAGTTTGTTAAAATATGGATATCAATTGAGGTTCTTTGATAATTAAACCCAGTTTCAGATTATAGTTGAGGAGTTCCGGGTGTTCGTTGATTAAAAGATTTAAACTTTGAGTATTTTAATTTCATACTTAGTGCATTGAACATATTCACATTCGGTAAGCAAAATAACTAGTACAGTGTAACCAGCAAACCAACCTACTCTAATGAATTTATTTTTGTCATTGGATTTTCGACTTGATATCTTACCGATAGAGTTGAAAATCAAATAAAGAAATTGTACAGAAAAGAGTAGGTTGACTTGCTGCCCACTTTATAAAGTGACAAGATTTTATAGTTTAAAATATTTTAATATTTAATAAGTACTTACCTTACTAGGTAACTAAGCTAAAAGTCAAATTACTGTTTGAAAAGAGACTTTTAGCTTAGTTTATTTTATTTAAGTTCTAAATTGACACGAGTACGAGTACTAACGAACCCTGTAAGCGCGTGCGTACGTCGCGGAGAACCTAACGGGTAACCGGGGCTCCGGCTCGACGTGCAGGAGAAGGAACGGGGTGGTTTTTAGTCAGTAAGAGTCTGACACTCCCTCCCGCCTCACCCAGGCGGGAGCAGTCATTCGATGATTTTGCCCCCGTAAAAAAAAAAAAGCGCGTGCGTACACCATATACCAACACAAATGAACTAATTTGGCGTACACATACATAGTTGATATCTCAAGCATTTAAATTTATCTAAATTCTAATTTATAAGAGGGACAGGAGCGTGTGGCTTAAACTGGGGACGAGGTATATACTTGCAGGTACCTACTCTGTGTGTAGCCTTACCTTACCTTTAAATATAGGTACCTAAATCTGAAAGTTACAAAATAGAAAAAAAAAATAGATTGTATTGATAATACGTGTAAAATGTAATGAGCGACTGGGTTATTTTTATATACTGTATCCACCGCGTGCGCTTTATACCTATTTCATATTTAATTCATTGTATGGAATATGAAGACCTATTATTTTAATGATTTGCTAACACACCTTTGAGAGAAATTTCATTGCTAACACATTCACACATGGCTAAGTTTTTATGTAAACCACTTTTATAATTGCAGTAAAATGAATAACAACAACAGGAATAATAATAATAATAATAATCCTGAGGAGAATGGTGGTGCAAATCCATGGGCGATTGCAGCCGGTATTGGGCTGGCTGGTGCCATAGTGGGTGGAACCATATCATATCTGATGAGTGGCTCCAAGGAGAAGGAACCAGAGCACCGTAGTCCACAATCCCCCAGTGTGGAGGAAAGGATGATAAGGAATACGGCCAGTACCAGCAGGTCGAACAGCTCCGAGGATACTGCCGTATCTTCGTATCTTTCCGATTTGTTAGGAAGGATGTCTACGTCACGGTAAGTTCTAATCCTAACTTGTCATGAAAACAACTGCAAAGCAAAGGAAGTCTTCTAGAAGTCCCCTTTAGCGTCTCTCTCATTTACTTTTTAAATTTTTGTACGATTTTCACTCTTTTCCCTACAATAGGTAGTGTAATTCCTTAGGACTAGGTACGTGTGGGAAGCGCTGTTCTACATGGTACAACTATTTCTTAGTTTTTACAGTACGCTACGGGGCGCTCGGGGGCGGTTCGACTCCCGTATTGAATATACCTTGAATATATTTGTTTGACCCATAAATTATTGCTCCGGGTACGGTACCTCCTGATATGAAACTATGTAGTTTTTTTTGTAGGCAAACACTCAAGTGCCTATAGAAATTCAAGTGTAGAGTAAAATATATACTTGTTTAAAAAAAAAAACAAAATACAAAACCCTTTACAAGTAGCACAGCACACACCTATGATAAAATTTCAGCCATTAGTTTCGTGAACAAGTGCCATATTGTATAACTTGTAGTGTTAAAACACTCATTTAAAAAAGGATGCAATCACTTCACCTTTTCACGTTGTGTTGATAGTTTACAATATAGTAATTAGTAGGTAAGTAATTTAGGTACGTTAAGTGCCAAAGGTCTTGATGAAGTATTCGAAACTCTTGAGACTGTACTTAAGAGAAGAGCCATAAATCTCTTATGTAAAAACTTGGAAGTTGAGATTATTCTCAAGCTAAGTTAGTTAAGTTGTATCGAGTCAGTATCTGTAAAGTCATTCGTTCGTTCAATAATCACCAAATCAAGAACACGCGTATCATTTGGCCGTATCATTTTTAGTAAGTTAAAAATGTCATTCGATATCAGCCTGCAATATTGTAGGGTTTCAATCTGCCGTCACCACTCGACACTGGCAGTATAGTCGACAACATCCTATCGGAGACTCGGTTACCAAAGAGAAAAAAAAAATTGTACGGTTGTCTAGGAACGAGAAGGAGTTGGTTGGTGGCGAGAAGTTAGCTTCGTACCTAGTCAGAGTTTAAGTTTTAGTAGGTAAATTAAAAACAGAATAAATCAGCGTGGTGAAAGCGCGTTGCATAATACCTATCTAAAAAGTGACGTCGTTTTTAGCGGGGGTCCTTTTACATCTACGATGAGCATTGAAGAGTGCCACAACATTCCTGAAAACCCAGTGATTACGAATCTTAACTCGTTGCTGTCCGACATATACGTGCGGTACATAAAGTTGAGCGACTTCGACACTCATTATAGAGTGTTTGACACGATCTTCCAAGCTGTGCACAAGAAGATGAAGGAAGTCGATCCCTACTACCAGAAGTATTCAAGCACGGTGCGTATACCTATGTACTTTTACAATCTTATTCTCATGCCTATGTCCCTCTGCACACGTTAGTATGAAAGTGGCAGGTTCAACCAACAGAAATGAAATGTCGTTTTTTGATAAGTATTCGATGTCTATATATATATATATACATATGTGTCGACGTGAATACAAATTTTATTTTCATAAAGTATGGGGTTGTTTACATAATCACATTTCAAATGTTGGTTTACTTAATTTCGTTTATTTCACCTCCACAAACAAGTGCACTCTCAGTTATTTGATGTTATAATTATTGTAATACTTGAATTAACATATTAAATACAATATCATCACTCCTTTTATTCCCCCAAGCGGTACACAGCGATGTACAATTATAAGAAACACTGACGTTTTGCCAGTTACGTTAATATTTACATGTAGGTACCTAGGTAATAAGGACGAATCTATACTATATACCGCACAAAATTCTAGACTTTGTTAGTGCTAGGTAAAAATTTAATGCCTAGTTCGACCCGAGAATTGAACCTAATACCATCGAAACGCTCAGAATTCAAAATTATTACCTAAGTTAAATGCTGAGATATTTAACGATTAGACTTCATTGCTGGTGAAGTAGTTATAAATGACCTTAGAGCTGCGATGTCGCGTTCGACTCCCGGGTGGATAAAAAAATATTTTTATTATCGACATTATTATCCATAGTCCAAAGTCTGCAACTGTGTTCTCGTTATGCTCATAGCTCATTCCTATTATACAGGACCCATAACTAATTAAAGTAGATATTACTTCCAGTACATAACATGCATCTCTACTTGACAGTTAAAGGAATTAAAAGGCGTGATGTTATTCTATGTTATAGAGGATTTGTTCTTATGAAGTTTTGGTCCTAACTGTTGCCTATTTAAGAGTTTTATACCACGTAATCGTTTGGTTTGCTTCGTGAATTGTAATATGTTTATAGGTTTGTAGGCTCTTATCTCCGTTCTACAGCGAGCTGGCTAAAAGTTGTAATACAAAAAATAGTTGTTAATTTAAATGATATCAAAACTGTTGGTTCAATGTCCAATGCGCTAGGATTCTTTTAATGCTAGTTAATGATGGACCGATAGTTTCTACCAGCGAACACCTGAGCAAAATCACATGAAATAAATTAAGAAATAGGCACATATTATGTACGTAAACGTTTTAATTACATACCTAAGTACATAAAAAATGCACTTACAGTATTTTATTTATGACTGAATTTGAGAGAATTGATACAACAATCTCTCATTTATCTTAAGTGTTTGTAGGACCGCAGATATACGTATTTAATGAACTTTTTAATATTTTAGGTCCAGTGTTGTGGCAGTCATTTCGATAATTTACGCATCGATAAACCTGACGAATTTGACATGGACATAGTGATCGGCTTACCTGTTAGTATCAAGATCGATCCTTTCAATCCTGACTATAGTGACATCATTTTAGAGGCTAAGTCCCCGGGATACGTCCAGCTAAAGACGGGGGTTCAGTTCCAAAAACTACCAATGAGGGACAAGGAAGAATGGTTGATCAACAAAACTGCGTATGAATGGAAAGATGATGCCAACTATCTCTTGCGATCAAAGTTCTGTGATTGGTTCAAGAGCGTCGTGAACAAGGCTCTGAATAAATTTGAAGTTAGTAGTAATGGACGACCCGTGTACTACGTGGAAGGAGTGCCGTATGTCATTGACAAGTCGGAGTCCGGACCGGCAATGACGCTTCTGATTAGCAACTACTCTAGAGACTTCAAATTGGATGTAGATCTGGTGCCGTGCTTCAAGTTCCCGGAGAACCGATGGCCGATCAGCAAATCTTACCGTGACATACCCCCGCGTTGTAAGAAGGACTACTGGATGGTGGTCGGCAAGCCAAATAAGGCGTCGCCGAGTGCGTACGACCAGTCGCGCTCCTGGCGCATAGCTCTGCACAATCAGGAGCGCGAGTTGATGCACCATTCATACAACTTGCGACAAGCAATTCGATTGGTGAGTATTCTTGATTACATTCGAAGTATACTTACAAACGTTAGCACTAAGTTAAATCAGTAGGTACCTATACCAAATGTTTTGGAATCAAGTTGACAAATAACTGAAGTATTTCATATTTTTAGGGGCTTCATGTGATTTCTATATAAAAATACACTAAAATGACGCCATTTAATTACCTTTTATTTCTCGAAGGGTCTGGCAGTGACGCACATAAATGTGCAAGACCTATTCATTGTTGTCGGTAAATTATTATCCAAAAACTTAAAGATTGTTTACTGTTTAAGAATATTGTAATACTGACAAACCCAATATAAATATTTAGTTCGACCCGGGGATTACACCGAGACTCCGTGCCCGGCAGTCGCGCTTGCCACCAATCGACTTACTTACCTCGACCAATGAGGGATTGCCGAATATAATATTTAGTTAATTATTGTTTATTTGTTTGACACAGATCAAAAAGCTGCGAGACTCGTTAGGAATGAAGAAGATAGCGAGTTACTACATCAAAACCATGTTCTACTGGGAGGTTATAGAAATCAACAATCCGGACTATTGGCAGAAGAGCAGCCCAGCGACATTGTTCAAGCAGATGGTAGGGAAACTGCATCAGGCTTTGGTGGCGAGAAACATACCTTATTTTTGGAATAAGCAGAATAACCTTATAGGTTCAGTACCACCACAAACTCTAGCCAACTACGAGGCCAAATTGAAGCCCTTGTTGGAAATATTGGAGCAACCATCGAAATACAAACTCGTGGCCCGATATTTATTGACACCGGAAGAATTCGCCGATTATAATGCAAGGTTCCTTCATATCTAATTTTTACATTTATTCATATTTCAATAGACCATAGAATACATAGTATTGATAGTATGTGTGAAGTTTAAACCTCGAACGTGTCACATGATTTTGTAATGATTTAATTTTAATTTACGTATTTGTATTTACTTATGGACCTACGATATAACTGTGTACAGTAAATCTGCACAGTGAAACCGCAAGGTGTAGCCTGCATAAGACACAAATCTCCCTCTTGAATGATAATTTAAAATAAAAATAAAAAAAAAAATTTAAAAAATCGTATAAATAAAAAAAAAATTATTTGTAATATTTAATGAATTTAATTATTAATCGTCATTAGGTGCTTTATTTACATATGTATATCTGAGATCACTCTCAGTTTGTATTCGTATTTAATGGTAGTTAGCTATCTACCAAATTAGCGTAAGGACATACCTAATATAACCTTTTATAATTTTACCTTTAAATTGAATTTCTTAATTACACCTTCAAGATGTATTATTGTATAGGTGGCGAGAAACTCTTTTAATTTGAAAATTGTGAAATGTATTTATTTATGTTCTGTTATTTGGTATGCACGTAAGAACATAAAGATTAAATAAGTATTGAGGCAGTTAAATACTAAGGGCTGACTTTTCAATCATCAGTTAATTCTCAACTGTAGAATATTGACAGTTTTAATTTAGTGTGGAAGAATTGTCAAACAACATTGACTAAAGTTGTTCCTCTTCCTCCAGGAAAAATCGGCTGTTAGTAAATTGCACGCTATTTAACAAAGTTATAATTATTATATTTTGTAAGAGAATAGTCATCCAATAGTTATTATCTCTGTACTTAGTCAGCTATCAATTTTTGTTTTGTTACGTACAAACCAAATGGCTATACGTAAGTAAGTTATATTATTATACTGTTTTTATTAATTTTGTTTAATATATTCAATATTATTCGATATTAAATATATCTATTTTAAGCTTGACTGGCTTTGTTTTATTTCTCTTCTTGCCTCAATTCTTAAATTCAACTCAAGAATTTAATTTAATTGAAAGCTATCGTTGTCATTGGAAGCCAGTTCCAGTTTGTTCGTTATTTATTGAAAAAGCTTCATAAACTCATGAGTTAATAATGTAAATCTGGTAGTCCAGGGATCATGTTTCATTGCTCTTATAAAATACTCTAAGGTCTCAGACGGTATGTATGTACAAAGGTAGAATAGATGAATTAGTCCTTTCGTTACTCTATGCTTATGTCCTTTTTAAAACAAATATCATTCGGATGCATAGAGTTTTTCAGACGTACGGTATCTGCGTACCGTATTGACATTTGACACAACAAATACATTTCAAAAAGCTATACATATTATACAAAAATGAGAAAAATTGAAACAAAATGGGAGACCGTGACAACAACAACCTGATACCGTTCGTCGCTGGAGTGTTCGTCGGTGCTGGCATCCTCACCTTGATTTACAAATTCCTTTTATCTGAAAAACCAAAGAAACCGATGAAAATGAACCAGCAAATTAGTGCTCAATTCAAGTGTACATGCTCGAAGGAACGCTCCAAACAGGTGAGTTAAAATTGAAATGCAATATGTAGGTACTTGGTGGTTTGCTCTGGTCTGAAAGTATTCTAATTACCAAACTGCCACAATCTAGGTAGATACTAACGTATCTTGCTATCACCACACACATCGTCAACCAGTTCATCTCAATATGTTAGAGACTCTTGAATAATTCAAGAATAAGATGACACTACTTCGCAATTCGGGTAATGATAGGAACGATACGTCGGGTCAGGTTAGGAATAGGGTTACGTTCGGAATAAATATCAATTATTTTTTCAAATTCCTAACCTAACCCACCACCGCACCGGGTCAGGTTTGCGGGTCAGGTTCGGAATAATCAGATTATATCAAGCGTCTTATGCATGGCGTATTATAAACATACAAACACATGCATATCCGATGAGAACATATATTTTATGGATCACACAAAATGATGTCTGATCGCGAGAATCAATCGTGAAATAATGCGTCAACCCTGCAATAAAATGACGTACCTGGCACCAGTTTTTCGGTAACCGCAGCATGTGAAAAGTGGTTTATTGTAATTTCATCATCATCAATAGCTGGTAACTGACCTACTGCTGAGAAAATACTTCCTCTCACATGGCTCCATGTGAATGTAAATGCAAATCCAAATATAACTCTTTTTTAAAAAAAAAAAACCTTGCCCACACTAGGATTATCTCCTGTGTCGTGGGTGCGTTTACAAACATACAAGTTCACATACACATGTCACCCAGACCCGAAACAACGCAGAAGCAAAGAGTTATATTTCCCTCCCCATGATTTTGACGCCCCTTTGGTTACATCATCGGGCAACCACGACTATACCTGTACTTACTGTAATTTAAGTAGCACTGAATTCGATGAAAATCTGCCTTGCAGTGTAAACTCCACGGCGGCGGCGGCGGCGCAGACTAATGCGTGAATAAGAACTTTTTTCACTCCAACAAGAAAAAAGAAGAACACAACGTCAATGTCAATTGCTCCGTCAGTGAAATCAAACAAAGATGGGTGTCCTCAACAATATTACATGAATTATTTTTTCCGTAACATCGAAAATCTCACAGGTCACAAGAACAACCGCTAAAAAAATATAAACAAGTCATATCAAATTGAAATTTAATTATGTGCGATTGGTAAGTACGTAACTGATTTGTTTCAATTTGTTTTCGCTTGTTGGGTACATGGGCGCTGCCAGAATTAGGCTTTTAGGGGAGGCGATGCATAATGCAGCCCAATAGTTCAGGCCCACCTGTGTTCTAGTCCCCGTCACGAACCGTGTAATTATTTCATGGTTATTACCAATATTGAATTTTAATAGTCTTTTTAAAAGAAAGCTACAGTCTTACCTATTAAAAAAAGGAACGTAGGTACTTATTTGTGTTGAAAGTACTTGTGGATTACTTATTGAGAAATTGTTTTGTCATTATATACTGAGTCATTTATATTAATATCCAGTCGTGATAAAGAATTATCCTGTCATTCATGCTCAAATCTACATTACGTATATAACTATCGATCTACCTACTATCTACTATCTAAATATTAGTACGTACTACGTAGGTACCTAAGTCTTAATATAATTAACTTTTTATACAGCAAAATTAGTGTGAATACCTATTATTATTTATCTACTAAAACAAGTGAAATAGGTAGGTAAGTAGGTACCTATATGCTACTTCTGTACAGCATGCACCTAGGAAGAGCGTTAGGTACCTACCTACTTATGAATAATACGTAAGGCAAACATCAATATTAAGTTGGTTTGTATTCCGAATTGTTCTAATACAACTCCATGTTTTCTGAATTATAACAGTTTAGAAGAAAAACAGCGGAAGGAGCGAGAACGTGCACAAAGACTTGCAGCACGTAGGTTCCGTGGTGGACTATACGGACCGGCAGGTGGTGCGTACGATGGTGTGGATGGCGAAGGAGCCTTTGGTCCGGAGGGTGGCTATGACGAGTATGGCAACTGGGTTCCACCTCGGGACCCGCCCTCGCGCTTCACTCCCGCGCGGATCCTGCTTGGAACGGCTGGCCTACTATTAGCTCTACTCGCATTGTTCTTGAAGACCGCCGACACCAGTTCCTCACCATTTCTTCACAAACTCTGTTTTTCATATCTTGCTCCTAAGCAGGACCCAAATGCAAGTTTAGATAGTGCTGCCCTTGAAGCTAAGCGACAACGCTGCCTAGAGCTAAAGAAAGAAGTAAGTCCCGAATCACCTGTTACTCTTTGCTTTTTTCCCAACAAGTTGGCGTCGGCTTTGTCTAAGTCTAAGGCTTAACCAGTTTCGACTTAATGTTAGTATTACATTGAACCTTTATCATAGAAATTCGGAAATTCCTTATTGAACTTCATAAAGAAGTCCTAATGTTAATTAATCTATACCTAAGTTTGATTAAGTTCTGTTGCGAAGAAATAAAACAAACTTAACTTTTTGTTTCAGAAATTGGCCAGAGAAGCTGCTGCTGCTGCTGCATCTGATAAATGCAAAAATAAAAAATAAACTATCGAAGCATCTTTATATTTTAATAAATAACTGAAGCGAACATTTTGATTTATTTTTAAAATTTAGATTTCGGTAAATGTCGCTTTACTTTCCATAATTTTGCATTATCATTTGAATGTTAAAATTTGTCTAGAATAGAACGAAAATTTTTAACGCGATGGGACGCGACTGGGATGTGGAGAGGTTCTTTTTCCCCTCACTTACTCTGCCTGCTCCTTAGCTATAGCAAGCGAAGCAGTAGCTTCGCAGAAAGAGCAAATCACTTCCCAGTTCACGTGGCCTGATTAAACTAGTACCAGACTTAAAATTACTCGAAAACACCCTGATAGACAACGTTCGCTGCTGGATGCGGCCCAGAGGAAGAAACTGGTACTGGTATTCCATTATTCAAAGATGATAATATTATAACAGTCTCACAGTCGTAGCCGGATTTGCGCCTTTACACAGCAACAGATGATGCGCTGGTGTGAAATACTGCTTAGATCTATTGAACACAACTAATTACTTAGGTACTTTAGGGGCTTCGTGTTAGAAACTTTAAGAATCGGCATCACACTGTATTGGCTGAAGTAATAATAAAATAATAATCCTTTTATGCCGGTTTCGGCTACGGCCGGGCTGATGGGCTCTCATGTGGCTGAAGTGGCAGGCATTGGTATAACGTGGAGCGAAATTAAGCGTGAACCTCAAAACCGATTACGATGGAAGACCTTTGGAAGATAAAACCAACGGCAGTTTTAAAGCACTAAATACGCAGATTTGTGTCTTCGTGGGTTAACCCCACTGGACACTGGCTGGACCCTAATCTGTGAGTTTTTTGGTGTCGATTTCAGACAAGTCTGTTTTCTTTAGGAATGTTAATGCATCCGGTGTAGAAATAATCTTCATCTACTGTCATCGCTAAGTGATTCAGTTTTGGGGTAGCGTGTCATTTAGAGGTATATAGATGAGGTATAATCTAGGCGATACACTATCGCCTATTTTATTGCAGCTTCCTACCTTTCATAGAAGACGACTAAGGATACTTGTAAAGAATTTTGGGGCGCCATCGAGCGGGAGCAGGTGATGAAAAATTTGCGGGTAAGATTAACTTACCTAAGTGACAATATATGGTGATAACGCTAAGTTTGCTCACCGCATTGATTGGAATTTACTTTCTCTCTTCTTATGC